CCATTGAATGTATATACAGAAAGAAATAAATTAAAAATAAATAAATAAATAAATAAAAAAATAAAAACCCTAGCTATTTCATGGAACTTTTAACTTTTGTTTCTAAACAAAAAGTATTTTGAAACTCCATTACTGATGAGCTGTTTGACTTTGGGCAACCTGTTTGTACCCTGGTTTTTTGCAAAGTATGAATTATGATAGCACCTACCTCATAGGGTTGCTGTCATAATTAAATGAGATGATAAACATAAACTTGTAGGCCAGCTGATGTTGTGGTCGTTAAGGAAGCTGGATCTCACGTAGCCAGCTGCATGGTTTGAGTCCTGGATTGGTGGCTTGAGAAACGCTGTGTGTGAGTGCATGCATGCCCAAAATCCTGAAAGGAGAGATGGAGAAGGGATAGTGGAATAACCAACCCCCACAGGGGGTGATTTCTCATTTTCCCTCTCTTTCTGGTGAGCACATGTGTCTTCTAGCAAACAATAACAAAACAAAACATAAATTTGGCACAGTAGCTAAAACACAGTACATGATCAATAAATAATCAGCTGTCATCATTATTTTAAATGAATTGTGTTCTTGGAACCCACCCTTTAAAAAAATCATTTATTTCCTCCATGAGTTACTGAGTAGGAGAGATGCCACTATCCACCCCAGCTTTCAATCAGCCCTGGATCATGGGCAAGCATGGGTCTGCTGTTCTCAGGGAGGTCTCCTGACTTGAACTTGGAACCTTCTCATGTGGGACTGCCCTGAACTTGTCATTCATAGAACAAAATAGTATCTATCCATGCACCCTTGTACCTATCTATCAGATATTACCTTCCAAAGCCATGAGTGGGTCAGTACAATGGGGATGAAATATACAGATGTCATTAGGCAGCATCAATAGAGTACAATTATAAAATGGGAAGAAGTAGAAATCGGGATGCTTCTCTATCCTGGTTAGTTTATATTCCATTTTCTCAGAGTTACCTACCCTTTAGCATATTTATGGAAATGTTAATTAAGAATATGATTCATTTATACACCATTAGATTGATTTGTAATCTTCTGAGGACCAGCTGCAATTATATTATTCATTCAATCTGGTATGCCCTATTTCTTTATCTTTAGTTGAATGACTTTTTATTGACCACATTAATAATCATCACCTGAATTAAAAATAGGCAGTCCTTCCCCAATTTGAATTGGATGCATTGATGTCCATGTCATTATAAAAAGTGATAAAAAGATTACTAATAACGTGGTAAAAAGATTACTAGTCACATCTTCACATAGTCCCCTCCCCCCACACATTTGTTTATTCATTGGAAGTACATATGCTAGCTTGAGTATAAAATAAACAGTGACTTCAGTGTCTCTGTAGGTAGAAAGAAGAGTCTAGGAGATAGTAAGATGGCAAGATGTTGAGGAATCATTTGAATGTAAAACTCTAAGACAGGAACTTGTGTTTACCTCCATGTTCCTATGCTCCCCTAGAAGAGCTAGGGGGACTTCCCATCCAAAGTTCTGGCAGGAAGAGATTGAGAAGAATCAGAGAATGGTCTAAAAGAAAGATACAGAGAAGTTTGGAGATGGGGAGGAATAAAGCCCTAGCGAGAAAATGCCCTACCATCTCTGCACTAGCAGCAGGATAGTTGAGGGACAAAGAACATGAGCCTGGGGTTAGGCTTCCTGGGTTCAGATCTAGGCCCCCACACTATTTTAAGACCTTGGGCATTTTTAAGCCAGGGATAATGATAGCATATCCCTCAAAGGCCTGTTATGAGGATTCAGTGAGGTAATAGTTAGAAACCTCCTAAATCAATGACTTACAAAGATGAAGGCTAGGTTGACCCTTGAGAATGAAAGGATTTCAGAGTGCGATGAGGAACACGAAGAGAGCCTTAAACATCTGAACAGTCACGCGGTGAAGAGGAAAGTGAGTCAAGAAGGGACGTATAAAAGTTAACCAGGCATCTGTGAGGGATCCACCAACAGAACTGTTGTCCTGGTGATGTGACTAATCAACTCTCATTTATTCCATTTTCTTTAGTTTTCCTCAGTGGTTTTAAAGAGAAATGCCAGATAATAAATGCCTGAGCTGACCTGAATTTTGGGATTGCTAGAAACAGCTGGATTAGAAGGTCGAGGGATTGGGACATGAGACTACCCCAGGGCTTGAAGTGAAAAGGAAAGAAGGGAAGCCAAAATGGCTAATAAACTGAAAGGACTCGGATGGATTTGGGGCCCAAAAGTGTCGAGGTCAAATATGAGATCTGGAGAGAGGCAGCAGGCTGCACGTGGTGGACAGAGTAGTTTCTAAGCTAAGGGCTCAGAGGAGAAACAGCTTCAGGGACAGGAGGTCCACTTGACCTTCACATAGAAGTGGGACTGAGCCAATGGAAGCAAGGCTACTCCCTTCTTCTTGCCACTCTGTTCTCAGGGATTAGATGCATTGTTGGCAAGGAAATCAGTAGTAAATAACCAAGTGAACAAAACCCCTCTATCATCTTTCTTCATGTCTTGACAGACCACAGGGTACAGAAAGGCAGGGGGAAGCTGAAAGTAGAAATGAAGAATCCACTAAGGAACATCAGTAGATATAGAATATTGATCACTATATCATATGTTAATACTTCAAAATATAAGCAGGTATCTCATCAAATCAACCAAAAGTCTTCTTAAGGATAGCTTTTTTTCGTATCGATACCTGGGATATAGGCCTTTCATAAAGCATTTCAAGAAATGTTAATCCTTCTCTTGTTCTCATCTCAGTAAGTCTCTCTCTCCACTCCATACTCAACATGCATGTGTGCACGCGCATGCACACACACACTTCTTCCCTCCCTACATACAACTTATGGGATTCATTTATTTAACAAATATGTCAGACACTATGCTAGATGCTGAAGCCACTGCAGTTAGTGAGATTAAGTCTGAGCTCACGTGAGGCGTCAATTCTAGAAGGTGAGACAATTGATAAATAAGTGAACATAGTCATAATCTCAGAAGATGAAAAGTGCTATGGAAAAATTAAGTGATGTGATAAAAGAATATTTTATATTGATTGGTAGATTAAGTTGTATTACACATCAAAAATGTCATATATTAAGTATATATCCCCATTATTCTTTAAGAAATTGGGCACAAGTGACAAAAATTATTACTCAACAGACTACCAGTAGAAAGAAAATCACTTATTTGCTGATTCTGTTTTCCTGGTAAAGAAATCATCTTGAAGACTGGTTTAGGACTGGCCCTGTTGAGTAGAAGCTAAGTGAATCAGATCCCACCTGCTTGCCTGCATGGCTTGAGTCTCAGACCCAGCAGCTTGAAAAACATGTTGGATATGTGTGCGTGTGTGCCCCAAACCCCGAAAGGACAGAGAAATGAAGAAGGGACTGTGGTCAGACCATGTCCCATCAGAGCAGGTTAGGGGTTGCTTTCTCTCCCTCCCTTTCTCTCTGTCTGTCTCCATCTGGTAAGTGCATGTACCCTCCAGGAAAAAAATAAAATAAAATAAAGACTGTGTATATAGGAATAACAAATATATTGAGTTGTTGGAAAAGTCATGATGTATTTATCTCTGCAAAAATGCATCATGACTTTTCCAACAACCCAATATTAGAAAGTTTTGAAAAGAACCTGTTTAAGAAGTATCAGCCCCTGTACGCCCAACCCCAAATCTTACCTTCAATGCTAGATTTAGTTAAGACTGCTATTGTCCAGCAAATATTTTTCCATCAAAACTAAACATCTGGATCTGAAATCATTTGAGAGCAATCTTTCAAGTCATGATTTCTAATTGAAACTCTACAGTCTAATTACCAGTGTTCTTTCCTTGAAGAACCAGAGTGTAAGAATTCTACTTAGGCTAATAGAATGATTTATTAGGCTTCCCTTGAAAAAGAAAAATCTAATTTCTGCCTTGCCTGTAGAAGATTTCCTTAAGATGTTTTGGCACTTGGTTCTATTGCCAAGCCAAACAAGAGTGAATGCAGACTTTGTTTCTGACTTAGGGTCAGGTAAGAGGAAGAATGAGGATCTACTATCGGTCTGACCTCTATAATAACGAGGAAAATATTTTCATCTCACCAGTTAGTATAACCAGCACATCAGGGCCTTGTTTTATAACCAACATCCCACCACAGTGGTGACCTTGAAGGCCCAACCAACATAGAGTCCTTTAGTTTCAAAGAACTTTATATGAAATTCCAGAGCTGGGTTTTGTTTGTTAATTTACTCTGTGAGAAAGACAGACAGACAGACAGACACACACACACACACACACACACACACACACACACCTTCATCAGGGTCTCATGCTGTGATTCCCTACGCCCTGCCTAGTCTTCCCAGCCAGCTAGGATCATGGTTGTGTCCCTGGCATTCACAGGTTGATCTGGGAACTGAACCTGCCATGTTCCATATGGATCCAGCAGTCGCTTGAGCAGCATGTTACTGCTGCACTGTGGAGCCAGCTCTAGAGCTAGGGTATCTTATTTGCGCTTTCAGCCAGCATTCTTTTTTTAGGTAACTTAACACAAAGTTAATGGCATGATTGTTAGGCTTACAATCTATTCAACATAACTAAATTAAAACAGAAACCTTCTTCACAATGGAACATTTACTGGTTCTCTCAGGAAAGCCAGTATGGGACACGCTGTACACACCCGTTCAGAAAGATGGATGTTCAAATCTAGTGTTCTAGTTCAGCATGTCTCAGACACAAATCGCTAAGATGTCATAAAACAGCGAGTAGAACTTCAGTGACCCATGCCATCCATAACATTGTAATTAGTGTTTGAAAGTGACTCCTTCTAGAATATTATCTCAGATAATCAGAGTGTGCCTGAGGCATAACTCAGAGAGTAACCAGTCTGTCACCAGATTCCTTCTAACTTTCCTCCCTCATCTGTCTCCTCCAATGGGAGTGAAGGAAGCTGCCTTGTAATTCTATGATAGGAATGCTTTCTGTCAGCTTTTTTTAGTCTAATCAAGGAATCAGAGCTGAAAAACTACTTGGGAACTGGTGAGGCTCCGCTGCGGTAAACACCACATGGTAGACATTGGTAAGTTTTGTATCATGGGTAACCCATCCTTCGTCTCATCCTTTTACCAGATATTTTTCTATTAGAACCTGTCTTCTTTCCTTCAATCTTCTTTCAGCCTCTTGCAAAGGCAGTAGACCTATTTTCCTATATAATTCCTCAACTATATTTTAGTTAGCAACAGTATTCCCTTAATTTAGCACTGCCTTTGCCACCATGTCTTTCAACTCCAAGACCATCATGTAATTTTCTATGCTGGTTTATCCTACTTGGTGCAATTAACACCTTTGGTACACCACTGAGAATCACCTCTCCTCTTAGTGAAGGGCTTGGCCTGGCTGTCGCTGCCTTAACCAAACTATCGTACTTATATCTGGAGTATTCAATTAATATTCAACCATTCATGCCCTCAAGAACTGGAATGTGATGTTTGTGATGAATCTAAAACCAACATAGAATGAAAACAAAGTGTCTCTTCACATACATCTCCTGTAAATTTTTATACACTGCATTAAGATCAGTCTTTTCCCCTGGTTATAATTATGTTATCCTGCTTTTAAATATTTTCTCAAAACTTAATGAGCAAGAGAGCAGTATTTAATGAATTTTGTTTTTCAACTTTGTATCTCTAAATTGGGTAAATCGTCTTGAGTTAAATTGCAACATAATATTAATTCCTGTTCTGTGCTATTTCAGCACCATAATTACTTGTGTTCCTAGTTAGGGGCTCTTAGTGTATGATAATTAGACAGCTGGAAGGAATGATTGATAATCTGTTTTCTGCTTAATTCTTGAGCACTAAAATCTCTTTTGGAGCTTTTATTTTACAAAACATAGAAACAGACCAACTAAGGATAATAAAAAGAGCATTTTCAGTGTTAGGTAGTAAATACAGGACTGTATCACTATACTATTTAAGTTTCCATGTGAGATTATTTTGTATTTCATTAGTTACATGGGCATTTAAATCTCAGTGTAAGACTTCATTACATTTGCTCCAAGTGAATTTTGTTTTGCTTTTAAAATAAATTTCAGCAGTTACCAAAAAGAAAAATGGAATTAATTTCTTTATTATGATCTTCAGCCAGGATAATGAACAGTTTTTAATTTTAGAGAAGTATTCCTTTAAAACCAGTATGTCAAATTCCTGATTTCTCTTTTGGATGAGAACTTACATTTCAGCACGAAAACATGCTTTAAACTGAATCCTAAAGTAACCTTGAATTACATAAAAGATAAAAAATAATGAAAATTTTAAAATCTAATATACTAAACTATTGCCAACCTACTATCCCGGTGTCTGAAAAATACTTGAAAAGGGTTGTGAAATATAGCCGTCCTCATCCATTTCAATATAGTTTCATTTCTGGGAACCAGCAGTTAGCGTAATGGCTATGTCGCTGGACTCCCACGTAGTCGACCACAGTTCGCATCCCGGACCTGGTGGCTTAGAACTCACGCCGGGCGTGTGTGCGTGCGTGCCCAAGATCCCGAGAGGAGAATGGAGGAGAAGGGATTGCAGCGTGACCATCCCCCCTGGGGGGTGATTTCTCGCTTTCTGTCTCTATGTCTCTCTCTGTCTGTCTGGTGAGCGCACGTGCCCTATAGCGAAAACCTTTCAAAAAAAAAAAAAAAAAAAAATATAGTTTCATTTTTTTAACAAACATGTGAAAACACGCGTGACCATCCCCCCTGGGGGGTGATTTCTCGCTTTCTGTCTCTATGTCTCTCTCTGTCTGTCTGGTGAGCGCACGTGCCCTATAGCGAAAACCTTTCAAAAAAAAAAAAAAAAGAAATATAGTTTCATTTCTTATACCAACATGTGTAAACATCACCCATGAAGTTTATGCCTCCTTAAGGACAAAATGAGGCTATGCTGTTTTAAACAAGCTTGCTCACTCTGTGCGCTCTACCTGGGATACCTTAACCTATAGGTTCCAGTAGGCCTACACTTACATTTATATTTCATACTAAACTTGGAAATATTGAAAACATCCCCAAAGCCTAAGCTATCTCCCACACCAAAGAAATCATATACCTGGGGCACAGACATCAATACTTTTTGAAATTCCCCAGGGGATTTCGCAGTTCTTACAAATTGGAGAACCACTGCTTCAACCAGTTTCCAGGAACACTGTTCGTTCATTCTTTCCACCTGAGCTCTCAGGGGATGCATGCTCCCCTCCCTTAGGTTTTTCTGCTATTCCTATCTCTACCACGCCAAGCATGAAATATGTTGGAACCGTGTGCTTACATGCCTATTTTAATCTACGATAAGATTCAAGAGTATTTTTATCTTTGAATCCCAGAGTAAAGCCCTGTACCTGGGAGTATTCAATAAAGTAATGGAATGATTAACTTTTTCCTAAGAAAAATAAAAGCAAAAATATGGAGTCCTGTTAACATTTAAATACCATTGAATAAGTAGGAAAGTGTTTAGGATGAAGTTTCACTGGTAGGCAACCTCCCATGTTTAGGAAAACATTACATTGTACCCATGAAAATTTTAACTCAACAGCAAAATGAATCATACCAATCAAATATAACTTCACATTATTGTAAAAAGCACGTAAAATCATACCCGTAGTAAGAACTATCTAAAACAGCCCATCTTTTCTCAGATCCCCTTCCTCCTGTACCAGATTATGTATTGTTTTCCAAATCAATTCTTTCAAATTTTATGATGTTGCAGGGGTCTATAAAACTGATTTTAAGTTTAAAATACTTATTTACAAAAATCTAAGCATCTGCGTTTGTTTATTGTATTCAGTCATTAAGATAATTATGATCCAGAGAATATTCACATAGTAAATTTTCAACAGTCTGATTCTAGACAATAAACTCAATCTTAAACACAAATTCTTAAAAGTCTGTTTCAAGTATTTTACACCTTATCTAATTAGTTTATATTTGCAGCAGTGTTTCACAATGTAACAATATGTTATTTATCTGCAAGATTTTCATGCAGGAAACCTGAAAATAAATCAAATTTAGAAACTATTTTCCAAGATAGTAAGATATTTCTCATTGATCGAATTAGATTGGATTATTTCATTAGACATGAAATTAATTTAAGACCTTTGTAACTAGTATTCAATACATACTCCTTCTGAATGCATATAAGACAAAAATGAGAGGAAAAGTAGTCTTACATTTTTAAACACCAACGTTGTGATCAACTACAATTTTTAGTCTGTATATGAAATACGAACAACTAATTTAAAGAACTACTTTTCTTGTTCTCCTTTTCATTATGACTTCAAATCTAAGTGTAATACCCTTAGAAATGGCTCGGCTTTATAAGAAATAAGCTCTGAATGAAAAGACCAAAGATCACAGTTCCTAATATTCAGTTCTAATGCAACTCTTCCAGGTGAGCGTCAGCTGTTATGAATACAAAACTGAATTTCTTCTGTCATACAACCAAGGCACACAGATATTCACTTTCCATCAATAACAGCATGCTTTACGTTTTTATGTTTGGTTCAAAAGAACAGGGCAATTTTAAGGTTGACTTCTGCCAGCCTCAATCAGATTTTAGGTTGTGTCCTCTCTTGAGTACTTCTCTGCCTCCTCCTCTTTTCACTCAACTGTCAAAGCCAGACACATGCATCCCCTCACTCCTCCAACGGAAGGCCCAGTGGGGCGTTTCTGCACACTGGCCAGGGGTCACTGGGTGAGCAAGGCTAGGAAGGGCCTAGGAGGGCAGAAGCCCAGGAGGTTGGAGCTCTGGGGGTCGCGTGGCTAGGGGTCAGGTGCAGGCTGGGTCTCTCTTGTCTGCACCTGGTCCCCAGCACCAGGTCCTGGTGTGCGCAGATGACAGGAGAGGTGGAGCTCGCCCCTTCCCCAGGCTCAACAACTAAAGGTGGCAAAGAAGCTTCATGATTCTTAATGCTATAAAAGTATCTTCCAGGGCTTTCGAAAGATTTTCCATCTTCCCTTCGCATCACCCACTGCCCCCCTCTGGCCACCATCGACAGGGCGCAGAAACCGTTTCTGAGGGGTCACTGGCTAAAACCACAGCAGACAGAAGCTGTGTCTACCTGAAGAACTGGAGAGGCAGGGTTGGCGGGGGAGGCTTGGCTTCCTCGGCGGCCCCCTCCATTCAGCGTAAAACCTGCGAGGGCGCGGCGTCCCAAGAGGTAGGTGGTCAGGTGGGTGCAGGACTGGAGGACCGGCGGGAAGCGAGGAGTCACGAAGCCTCCTCCGCTGGGGACCGCCTCCTCTCTGCCTCGGTCGTTCTGCATTAGTAAGACGGTGTTCAGGCCAAACAGCCGCCCCCGGCCAGCCCAGCGCGGATCGAGAGGGAGCGTCCTGGGGAAGCGGGGGCCGGGCAGCCCAGAGGGCCATTCGGTCAGACGGTGGGAAGCCGACGGTGCCCCCTCGCGCCTCGGTCGCCGTCTCACGGGGAAAGGGCCAGATCGCCATGGTTCTAACCACAGCTCCCATCAAGGGATCCCCTCGCTCCCCAAGACCCCGGAGGAGCGGTTCCCTCGGCTTTCCGCGGTCCGCGACTCGCTGCACCCCTCCAC